CCCCCGCCCCCCCCCCCCCCCCCCCCCCAGGACTGTGGCTGAGGTGCAGCCAGAGACTTTCAAGGCAAAGCTCTGCGCCCGCCCCCCAGTAGCTGTTCTCTCCCTCCAGCTCTGGGGCGCTGTGTTCCATACCCCAATAGTACACAGGTCGAGTTCCCAGGGATCTCTGGCAACACCTCCATCAACCAGGGGATCAGGTGGGTACCGCCGTCTCTACAGCTCTGCCCCTCTGCCCTTCCAACCGCAGCCCGTCCAACTCTGTCTCTCCCTAGTGGTCTTCTGGACAGCTTCAATGCCCGCGACATCAGCGTTAAGATCTTTGAAGACTTAGCCCAGTCCTGGTACTGGATTCTTGTGTGAGTCACCAGATTCCCCACTTTCTCCTTCCATTCTCCCTCCCTGATCCGCATCCTCCAGCCCAGTGTCTGACACTGAGTCTTTAGACTAGGGAGGAGGAGCCAGAGCTCAGAATGGACCCCAAGCCCAACAGGATTTATAATAGAAAGGAGGTCTAATCTGAAGACTGTAGGGGTGTGAGGAAAGGCATTTGGGGGCCAGGGGTGACCCTCACCTACCTCCTCCTGCCTACAGTGCCCTGGGCGTGGCTCTGGTCCTGAGCCTGCTGTTTCTCCTGCTGCTTCGCCTGGTGGCCGGGCCCCTGGTGCTGGTCCTGATCCTAGGGGTGCTGGGGGTGCTGGCATATGGCATCTACCACTGCTGGAAGGAGTACCAGGTGCTGCGGGACCGGGGTGCCTCCATCACCCAGCTGGGCTTCACCACCAACCTCAGCGCCTACCGTAGTGTTCAGGAGACCTGGCTGGCGGCCCGTGAGTGCCCCGCCCCTCCAAATGCCAGCCGCCAAAGCGCTGCCCTGGCCCTGACCGCCTCTGCCCTGTCCACCCTCAGTGATCGTGCTGGCTGTGCTCGAAGGCCTCCTGCTGCTCATGCTCATCTTCCTGCGGCAGCGGATCCGCATCGCCATCGCCCTCCTGAAGGAGGCCAGCAAGTCAGGGCCTACCCCAGAGAGGCGGGCAGAGGGCAGGGTGGGCCGGTGGGCGGCTGGGCAGGTGAGGGAGCCCTGCAGGAGAAGGGCAGAATAGTGCAGTGGTTAATACTGCTGTGGCAGCCTTTCTGAGCCTCTGTTTACCCATCTGTGAAGTGGGGGTGAGAGCACACCTACCTTGTAGGGTGCCCTGAGGATGAAGTGAGTGTGTCTCAGCATGAAGCAGCCCTCCAGAAGGGCTGTCCTGGCAGTCACTGTTGCCATGGTGATGGTGGGTGGGTGGGACGGTGGGAACCCAGGCAGGGTGGGGAAGCCGCAGCTTGCTCCCCACCAAGACCTACCTGCCAGGTTGGTCAACACACCACTTTGAGGACTCCCTGGCCTTACTTTCCCTGACGCTGTCCAGGGGGCTGCTCTGAGACTCACTTCCTCTAAGGGCCCCTGAGCCAGATTCACTGACTTCCGTTCCCTCAGGGAGCTCCTAGGCATGCCCAGCCCCGGGGTGGAGCAGGCCCTGGGGCAGAGGTGGGGCCAGGGGGCCTGCTGGTGGACAGTGCTCACTCCCTGCAGGGCCGTGGGACAGATGATGTCCACTATGTTCTACCCGCTGGTCACCTTTGTCCTCCTGCTCATCTGCATTGCCTACTGGGCCATGACTGCCCTGTATCCTTTGCCCACACAGCCAGCCCTCCTGGTGTCCGTGGGGCGGAGGGCAGAAAGGGCAGGACTTGCCCACTCAGTACCTTCGTGCTGGGGAGGCGCCCGTCCCTCTGGGCATGCACAGTGGCCCGGGGACAGCGGGGAGAGCGAGCCCAGGCAGAAGTCCGGCCTCGGGCCAGGGAGCATCCGGTACCAGCACCTGGGAAGGCCCTGTGGAGGGGCCACAGAGACCCCGTGTGGCCATGCTTTCCTTGACTTCCCTCTGGGTACCTGGCCACCTCAGGACAACCTCAGTACGTCTTCTGGGCACCCAACGCCAGCTTCCCCAGCTGTGAGGCCGTGCCAGTGAACGCATCGTGTGACCCCATGGTGAGGGGATTGGGGGTGAACGTGGAGGGGCACCAGAAGGGCTGAGGGCACCTTAGGGCCGAATGCCTCCTTGTGCAGGGGAAACCGAGGACTAGAGAGGACAGAGGCTCTCTCAAGGTCACACAACAGGCCCCGGCAGAGCCCGAAAGGGAGCCAGTCCGCTCTGTAAAGTGGAGCTAATCGTAATACCCTCATAGTACCCGGCTCTCAGGGCGAGCCAGACCAGGCCATGACTTTGGGCACAGAAGTGCTTAGTACAAAGCCCAGCACCTGATTAGCGCTGATAGCGATGGGTTTTGTTTAGTTTTTTTATCTTCCTCCCTGGGAACACACTGCCCTAGGCAATAGGCAGGTGAGCCACCCTGCCCTGCCCTGCGGGGTCTGGGAGAGAAGCTGCCAGCCCCCCCCTCAAACACACACCCCGCCCCTGAGGTTCCCAAGGGGTGGCCTGGACCTCTGGGAATTGACTGTCCTCAAAGCTTTCCTGTGGCCGCCTGCTCTGAGCGGGACGGGCTCTGCCCACGGGCATCGGCCCCCACTCTAAAGGGGAGGGAGGTTTGCGTCCGTTTGCGAAGGATCCTATGTGCCAAGCTGTGCAAAGCCCCGGATGACCGAGCTTGCTTCAGCCGGCTCAGGACCTGGCCGTGGAGACGGACACCGCCCGCAGGCACACACATGGAAAGTGGTTCATTTTATTATAAAATGTCTGACGCACTCGGGCCCAGCAATTATCAAGGCTGTCACATTGGCTGGGAAGGGTTGTTTTTTATTTCTATGCTTTTCACTTGTTGTTATGGAAATTTCTCAAACACGCTAAGTAGAGAATTCCCATACCCAGATCCCACACCTTCGACTTTCTCTTTTCATCCATCTCACCCAACCCCCACCCCTAAGTGAAAATATTTTTCTAGAGTTTAAGGGAAATTTGGACATCATACCATTTCACTTGTAAACACATCAGAATGGATCTCAACAGATAAGGACTTTTTAAAAATATATTTTTTATTGATTTCAGGGAGGAAGGGACAGGGAGAGAGAGAGAGAGAGAGAGAAACATCAATGATGATGAGAGAATCATTCATCGGCTGCCTCCCGCATGCTACCTACTGGGGATCGAGCCTGCAACACGGGTATGTGCCCTTGACAGAATCAAACCTGGGACCCTTAGTCCGAGGGCCTATGCTCTGTCCATTGAGCCAAACCGGCCAGGGCAACAGATAAGACTTTTAAAAAGCATAGCCACTATAACCATTATCAAACCCAACAAGATTAACAATAATTCCTTAATGTCATCAGACACACAGTCTCCTCAATTTTGCTGGAAAGCATTTTGGTTGAAGTTGCAGAGGCTGCTCTGGGAGGGGACAGCTGGTCGAGGGCCTGGCCAGGCCTTGGCCCCAGGGCTCCCCACACACCATTAAGGCCTGGCCCACACCACGCGGCCCGGGAGGTCCTAAGAGCTCCTGCGCTCACCCAGAGACGGAAAGAAGAGATTTATGCTCACACAATAGGCGAGATCAACCCACTTGGGACCTGGCGGTGAATCTCCCGGAGGGAGCCCCTTCCCCAGCTGGGAGGCTTTGCTTCTTTCCACTCTGGGAGTGGCAGGCGCTGGCTGGGGATGACCTGTCTGTGCTCCCCAGGCTCAGCCCACGAACTCCTCGTGCCCCGGACTGATGTGCGTCTTCCAGGGCTACTTGTCCACAGGCCTGGTGCAGCGATCTCTCTTCAACTTGCAAATCTACGGGGTCCTGGGGCTATTCTGGACCCTCAACTGGGTCCTGGCTCTGGGCCAGTGTGTCCTGGCTGGGGCCTTTGCCTCCTTCTACTGGGCCTTCCACAAGCCCCGGGATATCCCCACCTTTCCCCTGGGCGCGGCCTTCCTCCGCACGCTGCGGTAAGCC